CGGTGACTGATTGATCAGTTCATACGCCTTTCGTTTGTTCCTTTGCCAAACAGGGGCCCAATGCTCCCCGAAATTACAGCATCAACTTGCTGGAATACAATGCTTCGCCAGGATGAAGCAAGGGGCAGTGACTTTATTTAGTGGCGACTCACGTCCGCCACGTCACAGTGTTGTTAAACGGACATATGTGGCTTTTTATAGGGAGAACGGTTGTACTCATTTTCAGACGACTGCCTATCACCCTGCTGCCAATGGCCTTGTCGAACGATTTCATCGACAACGGAAAGTCGCCATTACAGCTGGTTCGCCTGATTCCCGTGGGTCTAAACGCCTTCCAGCTACTCTTCTTGGTATTTGCAATACCGTCAAAGAAGTTACCGGATGTTGCCCAGCCGAATTTGTCTTTGGCACGACCCTCAGACTTCCAGGCGAGATGATACTGGACTCACGAAACACAGGCCAATTGAATCCTATATCCTATGCCGAACGCCTAAAGTACCATGTTTTATCCATTAAAGCGACTGCACCTCGACTAAGCACAGGTGAGCAGCGGATACATCTCGATTTACACACGTGTCCATTCGTCTTTATCCGAATCGATGTTGTTCGAAGACCTTCGACACCACCTTATGAAGGTCCATGCAAAGTCTTATCGCGGAAACCGAAATACTTCGTTCTGGATAAGATTGGATCCAAGAAGTCTGTGAGCGTTGCCCGTCTTAAGTCTGCATACATCGAGTCAACGACGGGTGGTACAGAATCAACCTAAACCACTCACAACCCTCCTGTACCTGGGCGGTTGCCCACTGACAAACGCATGACCAAATCCCAAACTTCGGAATGCTTCTGCCCACTCACAAGCGATCCCACCTACACACTTACAGGTAGTGTTCTTTCATTCCCCACCAAACTAGCACAATATGTTCCATTAACGCTATATCGTGCCTTGCTCATCACAGTGTAAGCTCTAAGTGGGAGGTCTGTAGTGGTCGTGATTACACTATATTTTATATTTGTTTTTATCAGTTTCGTTACTGACTATTTTGTAGCATTGGTTTAACTTCACAAAGTTTGAATAGAACAATTTCTATGCACTCGCGTCGTGCTGGTTTCGTTTGCAGCTGCCACGTCTTTCCATTAGTTGGATTTATATCTTCGAATCGCTAGTCCGCATCGGAATAACATTGACTGAAGGAAAAACTACAACGCCAGTGTGCTTGATTGTTCTTCTATTTTGAGTTTTTGCCTAAGATTGTCTTTCGTCTCTGCACACGAATTTATTAGGTGACGGTCCGCTACAATCAGCAGCACAATTTCCCAGCTTGAAGAACAAATCAAAAGCTAAATGGTCAACACCCAGCCATAGGTATTCCGATTTGTTGCAGTCATTAAGAAATTGATCACAATAATCTACAACTTGGGGTGATGTCTTATGGTGTTTAAGTATTGTTAATCCATAATTCAATCCCCTTCAGCTTCGACATTTGAATCGGTTTTTGGTGGATTACCGTCGTCGTTGCGGGTATTTGCTTTTTACCTGACGTATCCTCTGAATGATCTGAGAAGCGAACGGCATGAATTCTTCCATCTCAACGTTGTGAGTCCGGCAAGATGCCACCGACGGAAAATATTTAAACCAAGGAGGCTCAAACTGTGGTGCTTTACTTACTCCCGCTGTGAATGACTGGAACCGGTTAATGGGGCCCGTCGCTGATGCGCAGATGGAGGATTGCTTTAAACGACTACTTAATTCCAACCTGTTGAGTAAGCCGAAATAGTATTTCTTCAGCTACATGTGGGAGGACTTCTTCAGAGTTTCTGCTGCGCAAGGATGCGAGCATCCCAGCAATGATCGAGAAGCCATGGAACTGACAAAATATCTCCCTTCTGCTCTCTCCTACCCAATGAACCAACAATTTCGTCAGAAATTGGTGGAACTAATTGTTGGGGCCATGTACGCTGCTTTCTTGTATAGGCCATCTGTATATGTTGTTGGAATGCACATTATCATGACTCAGTTTGTTCCAGCTTATTACCTTCTTATCATAACCTTACCATAAAGTTCAAGTTCCAGCGGGACTGGAACGATAGGATTATCCCGTGAGTGTTCCTTCTTCGATGGGTCGTTGAATCAGGAGTTGGCGGACTTTAAAATACTGATGGACCTAAAACAAAGACCGCATCACACCCTGTCCAACCAATTAATGCCCACGTATACTGCCCTAACAGTCCCTGCTGGGTCGGTTACTTGAAGTAAGAAATAGAAAAAGGTAAACTCAGAAGGCAAAAGAGAAAGGGGAAAGAGCTAAGCAAGTGGAATACGAAGATCAATAAAAACAAACTGAAAAGTGCAGGTGAGTTAGCTAGGAAAAGGAAAAGTCCGCTGTTGTCACCCAAGAGCATCGACCTGGTGCGCAAAACCCTTAACCGTAGGTTCCCTAACCACCTGATCTGGAAGCGAATTCCAGCGATCTATAACTCGGCGCGACAGACGAGTTTCCGTCCTAATCCTATCAGACCGGGGTATATGCAGTTTTAGTGGGTGACCGCGGAGACTAGGTAATGTAGCGGGACTAAAAAGCCCTGACAAGTCCGGGCCAATCTTACCAGTCAACATACAATAAGTGAGAATCAGGTCCCCTCTTATCCTTCAGTAAATCAATGAGTACATCTCCAAACTGAGCAAACGTTCAGGATACGTCTGTCCCCGTAGACCCTGCACTAACCGAGTGCCCACTCGTAACACCCTCTCCAAGTCCATTTTGTCTCGGTTAAGACGTGGTGGACAAGCCCAAATGCAGTATTCTAGGTGGGGTCGGACGAACGTCGAGAATAGCCTCATAAACAAATTGGCCGTTAGGATTCCGAAAGAGAGGCGGATAAACCACATGATACAGCAGCTTTCTTCCAGTTGTCGCCAGAATGAAGTGCTGATGCGTGTACGACTCCTAAATCAACCTGCTGAGTGACAACAGGGAGTTCACCACCGCGGACAACATATCGGGTGGGAGGATTAGCAGCTCCGATTCGGAGAACAGAGCACTTGGCCCTATTTATGGGCATCAGTCATAAGGTAGACCATTCCCAGAGCCTATCTAAGGCATGCTGAATTGCCTCAGGACCCCCTGGGATATCCACAATATTCCAGAGCTTAAGGTCGTCAGAAAACATTAGTGATGACACCCCTAGCTCTTCCGTCAAGTCATTTACATAGATCGGGAACAACAATGGCCCCAATACCGAACCCTACGGGACGCCACTAAGGAGAGCTTGCCTGAGCGAAAGGCTACGACCACGCGTACGCAATGTTCTCTCCCCTCAAGGCAGGCAAACACATATTGAAGGGCGTGACCAGATATCCCGTAAGACCTCAACTTTAATGAGAGCCGCAGATGTGGGACAGTGACAAAAGCTTTCGAAAAGTCCACGAAAAGCACGTCTACAGCGTGGCCACTGTCTACCGCTTCGGCCCAGCTTTCACAAGCTATAAGTAGATTAGTCTGACATGAAAATCCCTTGCGGAATCCATGTTGCGCGACACTGAGAAGGTTGAGTCTATTCAGGTGGTTCTCAACTGAATCCCTTATCAGCTTTTCAAACAGCTTGACCACTACGCTTGTCAAACTGACAGGCCGGTAGTTCGACGACAGAGCGCTGTCACTGCCATTAAAAATCGGACAGATGATTGCCTCCTTCCATTCCGAAGGTAGGATGCAGCTGTCCAGCGATACTGAAAACACGTATGTAAGAGGACCACTTAGCTCAGTGGCGAATTCATGCAACAGCTTCGGATGAATTGAATCAGGACCGGAATCTTTAGAGGGATTAATGTCTTACAGCAGCTCGATGATCTGAGTCTACGTTATGTTAAACTCAGCTAAGCGAGAATCCTCTGGAACTCTTGAAACCAGTCCAACCTGTGGTAAAGAGGTCTCCCGAGCAAAGACCCCAGTACACTGATCACCAAATATACAAGCCTTGTCATAGTCAGTTTGTGCACGGGTTCCGTCTGCTCGCAGTAACGCTGGTATAGACAGTTTTGCCCCGGTGCATCTTTTAACGTAAACGCAAACTTCTATAACGTCTATAATCTTTTTCATGTCATTTACCGCGACATTTTGCATTCCTAAGGTAGCGCACAAAAATATAATTGCTATCTTTCATGTTGTTGCCCAATTGTAAATTATCCTTTTCTGTTTTAATCTTCCTTACAACCGGCTCGTCTTTTGACCGTCTTGTAAATTCCCGAGGTAACGTGTTGCTGCTGTATCGGTGCATCCGTCCGCGTCTTCTTGTGGCCCATCGAATACAATCTGCTGTGTCCGACTCCGGTTGCCTTCTGATATCCGCGCTTGATTTCGTGCATCGTTTCGAACTAGTATTTACTAGTTCTAAAATCTGTGATCCCGACATGATCCAAATAATAAATAACAAATGGCACAGCGGACTTAGACTCCAAGCGAAACCTCAATTGATACGAACGTTCAATCATTCTTACTCGGCAGGATTTTGCCCCACGGATCTCGATTTACCCGTCATTCACGATATCGAGCGCTTCTTATGTTCAGCCTAGGGGACCTCTGTAGCGCCCAAACAGATAACTGCTATCTTTCATGTACTATTTCATGGTTGACCGATTGTACCTTACTCTTCATTGTTATAATTCTCCTTACAACCTCGTCACTTGTCCATCTTGTAAGTTTTCTAGCTAAAGTGTTGCTCCTGTTTCACTTCATCCATCCGCGACTTCTTGTAGCCTATCGAATACAGTCTGCAGTTGCTTTCTGATATCCGCGCTTAATTTCGCGCACCGTCTCAGACTAGTATTTACCAGCCCTATACTGTTCTGTTTGACCATTGTTTTTCATTTCCCTAATGTTATGACCATGTGCTTCACGGAACCTGCATTTGTCTCATTTCTGTTCGACGATCGTAGTTGAATAACCAAAATGAACATTCGACATCTGCATGCTATATCGTCCAAGATATTCCTTACGTACCTCTTGGTAGTAACCGTAACATCCAGTGTTGTCCCATTTCGGATATCTTAATTTTTCGCTGCATGTAATATCTTTAATGCTGTCCGATGTGATTCTCTTGTGCTCATTCCATTTGGGATACGGTGGATAAGATGGTATGTGAGCGACAAGCTTCTTATCTAACGACAAAATAACTGATTTATACGCAAAAACATACATGCGGGAACATCTTTATATAGCGCCGAAAACTCCGATTCTTTCTGTATATCTATTGCATCTCTTCTTGTCAGTCGTGGTAACTCTTTGTGCTTGTCGTAGGATTCCCATCGGCGCTCGGATGGGATATACCAACCAGGTCCATCGTAGTTTAGCAACTTACGTTGTCCAGCTCGATAGTTCTGGCTTGGTATTTCTACTGTAAATGGATCAGTTTTCCTTATTGTACTAAAAGTTTGTCGGGTGGATGACATTTTGAACACCCGCGTTCGGTTTCCAGTGTTTTTTGTTTACAAATAGTTAATTCAAACTAAGCTCTTTCTAAGCCGGATCCAAAGATGGCGATTCAAGAGACTTGTTTAGCGGTGCGAGACACACTGTTGTACATGTGCTTGTCTTGCAGTTCATTGGGATCATTTAAATGTAGATAGCAAAAGGAAATGCCTTTGTCACCTCCATCACCTCCCAATCATAGCATGTGTTTGCGCAACAGCAATCAACATGGTAAGTTGTCACAGTTGCATAAGAAACAAAAATATTCCTGTAAATTTAACAACTATAAACCCAACCATCATTTAAAACATTCCGCAGCGTGCGCGTTGACGACTTTCTCAGGCAAGTAGTTATAGTGGTTCATCAGCCGAATTAATAGGGTAATATCAGAACGAAGCTGGTGTCTGCTAGGTTTAAACATTTTCCAGCAGTTGCCCCGAGTTGAACACTCGGTGTTTATCTCGAAGAATCTTTGGAGCTCGCTTCCCATCTTACCTCGCAGAATGCGCCGAGCGTAGATCAGGTTGCCTAGGCGAAGCCGATATGCCAGAGAGAACATATTCAAGTGCTGGAGCCGAATGTGATATGGCAGGCGTGGGAGCTCAATGATGCACTTAGAACCGCGCCGCTGCACTTTCTCCATCAAACCATGTTCAAACTTTGTAAGCGAACGGACTGCGATTAATCCATATTCGAGGATTGGACGCACATGGGAGGAAAACACAAGTCGGAATATTACCGTTGTTAATCTTGAGAAGGCTTTTCGGATGGAGCACGGTAGGCCGTTAGCCGCTGCAACCCTTCTCAAAGTATCTTGGGTGGTTTTTAGATCAGAACATAGTATAACCCCGAGGTCTCTTCCCTATTTCACCTTCTAAAGCAAATAACCTCCAAGTAGGTAAGCACCAAATGGTTCAGTAGCACCGATGGAGAGTACAGAACGTTAATCGCGATTTATAAGCAACTGCCTTTCACTTGACCAATCGTGCAGCCGATCCAGGTTATTTTGGAGTCGGTCAACATCAGTAGCGCTGGGTACTACAATACATAACTTTAAATCGCCAGCATAGATCAAACATTCGGCCGTGAAATTTGAATTAAGGTCGTTAATAAAGGATTTGAACAACTTTGGTCCATGAATAACACCCTGAGGGACGCCACTGCTCTAACGGACGGGGCTGAATACGTATCAGTGACATTAACTTGCGTAATTCGGTCTGAAAGGAAATCAGGCGTCCACAAGTGAACCCTAGCAGAGACACCAATTCCTTGAATTGTGAACAAAAGCCGTTCATGAGGAACGTTGTCAAACGATTTGCTGTAATCAACGTAGATAACGTCCATACGTTTGCCCACATCCAATGATTTCGCCCATTTCTCTCTAGCAAATAACAAATTGGTGGTACACGAGCGTGACTTACGAAAACCATGCTGAGCAGTAGAATCCACACTCTGGTCCTCGAACTAAGGGCTATGAGCTCTTTAGCATCCGTTCCATAATTTTACAAGTTACGGTCGTTAGGCAAACGGGACGATATATTGATTGTTCTTGGCGATTCCCTCCTTCATATGTGGGCTTGACAATGCCCACCTTCCCAGCTGATGGAAGGTGTCTGGATTCAATGGAGCAACGAAACACATGACAAGCTGGGGCTGCACTCTACTTGTGCACGGTCTTGAAAAAAGAGGTTGCAAGCCACCAGAACCAGGCGAGTTGTTCGGCTCTAACTGGGGAAGGAACTGAGTAACGGTCGCGGCACTACTCTCAAGCTGATGCAGTAAAGATGAACAGGAGAATACGAAGTCCAAAAACGGTTTCATTTGTAAAAACCGATGAATACGGTTGAGCTAAGTGATTCGCTTTCGCAGCATCCTCATGAAGTAATACAGCGTGTTTACTGGAATACGGAGATGCAATGCCATTGCCACCTTTAATGCCCCTTTTCGGAACTGAGAAGAACCGTTTTGAGGAGTACCAAGACTGCACAGCCAACGGAGACGCGTAGTCTTGGCGATTCTCTCGCCGCTTCAGGATACAAAGGTTCCTAAGCGTTTTGTACTCCAACTAGTCGGCCATCGCTTATGTACACCTGAATCCGTCCCATAATTTGCGTCTTTTGTTCAGCAGAGACCTCAAGTATCTGTTGATCCAAGGAGGACCTCTTGCTGGATGGTCTTTTTGGAAATAGCGACAACCTGGTTGAGTAGGGACATCACTTTGGCGTAATAGTGCGTCCAAGTATCGCCAACGCTCAAAAATTCAGGATTGGACTGGTCCATATTGGAAGCAACCTCCTGCAGACGCTGCGGATCGGCTCGCCAGAAAATACGCGGGAAAGTACCTTAGTCATGAGTGGAAAATCGGCGTGCTTATTGGAAGGAAACAGCACAGTGATCACCCTTACCAATAGGTTGCATAGCAACCAGGTAGATGACATACGATGGCATTGGGGAGAGCAGTCGATTACGACAGTGCGTCGGGTGTCATGAGAACAACCGAGGGGGTAGAAATACATTCTGAAACAAGTTACAATCGGGAAGGGTCTGAGAGAGAACAGCATCAAAAGATTCAGAAGGAAAACCATAATAAAGCAAGTCCCACTTAATGCCAGGTACATTAAAGTCTCCAAGAAGTAAGCAGTCTTTACCTTTGGCGTGCGAGTTAACTGAATCTATCAAAAGAGCTCCTGAACCCAAGGAAGATCTATAGGCGACATATAACAGGGGAGATCTACAATCGTCATGAATATGACACCACCGAGCTTCGAAGCCACCACCTATAGCACAAGTAGCATCCAGTAAATTTGCCTTGAGATCCGCCCTTTAATAGAGTATAACGCCACCACCTGACCTCGATTCGTGGCAACCAGCCCGGGAGGAACGATATCCAAGGATATTTACTTCCGACTCACGGATGTCCGGGGACAGTTACGTCTCAGAGAAAGTCATCAAGTCAGGGTGACTATCGAAGGCAAGAAGTTGAACACGTCCAATTAGTTCCGCAAACTGCTAGAATTAGCGGACAACCCACACAAACCGATCTTCGACCTTACTGTCAGGGTAGGAAAAGGATGAGTTTCCAGCGAGTTCTCGGAGATTCTGGAACTACTCAAAAATCCACAATGTGATGGTCAGTCTCACCATTTGGCCGGCAGGTTCGAAGTCCATCAGCTGCACTCTTTATTTTTATCCGATTCTTAGGATCAGATCTCTCAGAACATAAAGGATTCCCCTTTACGACGTCAAGGGCGTCGGAGGATGCGCCTGCTTTTTTCTACATTTTGGCATACGATATTGAGGGGACGAGTCTTTGTAGAGTCCTCCTGTTTCCTGACAATTCGAAAGACAGAAACAACATTTATCCCTGGTTCACCCTCATCAAACAACAGTGAAATCATCCTTTTTAGAAATGCTTCATCCTCTAGGTGCCTTGCAGCTGGCGTAGCTTTAGGAGACTCCGGCGCATTTACAACTATAAGGCAGCGGTTCCGAAACGGGCGACAAGAGTCCCTAGATGCATGCTGCTTATAAGAACTCGATTTGTCCGTGAACAAATTCTCCTATTGAGTAACTCTAGCAAGGAATTGTTTAAGCTATAATCGCGAAGAGGGCTTGGATTTGATACTAGATTTTGCTGTTGTCTTCGCTTCTAGCATGTCTGAGTTGCGGCTGTCTGACGACACCACGAAAGCTTGCACCACAGATGCATAGGTCCTGACCGGAGGCTTGGCATGCTGTGTAGCAACATTTACTGAAGGAGACGTGGCATGACTTTGCTTATCGATGACAGTTACGAATCCCGAACATGGGAAGGCGGATCCGCAGGTAAAACTGTGTCCGTGGAACCAAGCAACGTAGTGTGAGGAAGAGAGTGACGTTGACTAAGAGCTGGTAAACCGGCAAGCAGACGTCTTTCACTGATTGGTACTCTACAGGAGTCACAAAATAAAGCGATGGCTTGAGACAGTGTGCGTTGTAGGTGTCCATATAAGCCCGGACAGATAGAACAGCAAGCAGAGTGAATGTAACCATCACACACAGAGCACTGTACGGCCATCAATCGGTGAGTGACAAGCTTACTGCAAGTAACACATTTAAAAGCCATGGGGAACTGATGAACGACGTAAAGCAGTGGTAGCACGAGAAAATATTCTTTAAGCGACGGCTGTGCAGTTCAGCACAGGCTACGTCCAGTACCACTTTAGTCAATTCAAGCTAACTTGGATCAAAGGAAATGTGATGATAGTCATAATTTGCTTCAAGTGTTTAGGCTGCTACCGTTTTCAACCATATTTCAGCTAAATAACCCGATCAGTGGGGCAAATCAAAGATCCGGACTGGGATTCTAACCAGTCTGTTATGGGCATATGTGATGGGAAAATACCATTGTATTAGATAGTCTGCCTTTCTATTGCACGTACTGTGTCATGGATTGTTACACGCAACCTCATGTGAGGCCTCGGTTAACTTTGAAATCCGCCTTGCCATTCCGAACACTGCGACAGTATACGACCGAACCGGAGGGTTCCGTTTTTGCTCCCACCAATCCTCGCACTACACGACCGACGGTGGCGTCCGCGTTTGGACTCCTCAGGTACAGATACTCTGAGTTGGGAGTGAAAAGAGCAATACAGAAAGCCTCCACTTGGGTCGAGTACCGTATCAGTGATCGGAATGGTAAGTCTGACTTCAATGCAACCAGAGCCACAATTCATTCTGCGTGTCGCAATCCCTGACACGGCGCGTACTCCAACACCCGGCTATCAACTCCTAACCTCTGTGTCGAAATGTTCTCAGGGAGCTCAGTCGTCTAGTGAAACTGACGACAGCCACTGAATCTTATGTGCCTAGTTCCACTCCAACCGCAGGCTATCTCCACTTGGTGAGTACAATCCAGGACGGAAACGACGGTCGTAGAGTACGTATATGAAAGCCAGCAACCGCAAAACCATTTTATTATGTTGCCTATACAGCTGCTGTTGTTATTTTATTTCGGAATTTGTATGCACCTACTTTGACCTTAACCAAAAATTTTTAATCGATGTAAAAGCCGGTTTTACTCTTCTTTGGCGTCAAACGACATTTTCAGCGCGCTATCTCTTGAACATTTTGCTTCCAAAGTGGGAATTGCCAACAGTGT